TATCTTTTTTTTCACGATTCATTCTTATTACTACTATTATTACTATTATTATTATTATTATTATTATTATTATTATTATTATTATTATTATTTTATTTTTCCCTAACTTCAAACACACTTTTTCTTCTTGCACATCTATTTACTATTTTACTTAACCCTATTACCTGCGAGTCTGTTTAAGAATAAACGCTTTGTTCAAAATTTTTTTTTTTTTTTTTTTTTTCCTCACGCATTAAAAGAACCTTTTTACACCAACCACTTTACCTACCTACCGTCATACCATTCACGATGTCAAATATTACTACTGCTCGATTTTGTGTTTTCTTTACTACTCGAAGTTATATTCATCATTAAAACTCATCATCTAAAAACTTTTTTAACCAAAAAATAGAAAAGATGTTTGTTTTTTCCCAATGTTTGGGCACGCAGATTGTGTCACGTGACGGACATGCGGCGATCGCCGTCGCGAGAAATGCAATGCACGAATTATCTACCTTTGTGATTGCCAAACTTGATAAAAATGGTGGCAGTGTTGTTGATGACATATGCATTAATGTACGAGTATAGGATGACAATCGAATGGATGCATCGTTAATGTTTAATATATATGGTTACATTGTTTTATAGTATCTAGAGTACGTCTGGAATGGCCGGAAAAAAAAAAAAGAGAGAGATCGTTAGAATGTGAAAAATGAACAGAGAATCTTATGATTTCAGAAGTGTCGGGAAAGCTTCTCGATAATCTTGTGGTAAGGATGTGAAAAAAGATCGCAATAAAAGGGGTGGTGTTTGATCGATCTTCTTTGAGATCGCGCAGGTGCGCGGGCACGAATCCAAGCATGCGTTATCATTATGTCATATTGCTTCGAGGAGGTTCTATGAGCGAGTAGAAAGAGGCTTGGCTCTAATTAAAGTAGAAGTGTGACTGGATGCATAAAAAAAAAAAAACGTAATTTCGATTATGCCTATACAGTCGCCATTGTGGAATGTAATATTACACAAAAAGGTTGGAGAAGCTTGTGCGCGCATAAGTACCATAAACACGACACCACTAATTAAGCGAAAATCAAGCGGGCGAGAACTAGGTTCCAAACGAGATCTTGACATTTCAGGTGACAACTTGCAAATTAGAAAAAATCTTTGCGTGCATTGATTTAATGTAAAGATTAAGTATTATCAAAAAGTGATATGCGCACGAATGTCGGGTAGTGAAAATATTCGTGTGCTAACCGAATCGTGTTTCTAATATTGTTAAAGTATATGGCGCGAACGGCTTAAAGACGCACTTTTTTTTTTTTTTTACAAATTGTATTTATTTTTACAATACATACAGTATGTCTGAAAACAAATGTATTGTGAGAAGACAGTATATGGGCAATTGTTTAAGTACTTTAAAAATATATACTGTATATATTTCACCTCCAAAAATTCTACTAATCGGTTATTATGAAAAGATGCAATTTGTGAAACCCGATCTATTATGAAACTTGGTCATACTGTAAGTATCAGATCTATTTTGCAAAAAGTTAACTTTAATACTATTGCATGATAAAACTTTTGAAATATTTCAACAAAATTTTTTTTACTGTCAAACTGATATGGCTTGTCTAATATCTAAGATATTTTATCATTTACAGTAAGTTTACTTTCTTTCTAAATACAACTTGGAAAATAATATTTGGTTTTTTTATTAACTTGAATTATCCTCTTAGTCAAAAAGATAGTTTATTACCATAAATCTTCTAAAGTTCTGCTTTCAAGTTAAAATCTTAATTACTTTTACCTTTAAAATATACTTTTCTAGAATTTCAAATACTTCTTATTTGATTCTAATATATTGAACATTTTTAAAATTTATCTATCTAAAAGAATCAATATTTTTTTTTTTTACATTTTATTATCTTGAATATTTGTCTCGTGGCTTGAATATTGTTAATAAATATTAAAGATTTTTATTTAATTATTAAAAATATTTATTTAAGTAAAAAAAGATTATATAAAATTAAATATATCAATTTTTTTTTTTTTTTTATTATTTTTACTTAATAACTTTTATAAATGATTTTTTTTTAAATACAATATATTGTGATAAAGAATTTGATATTTTTTATTGAAAAAACTTAAATATTAAGCTGGATATAAGATACAAATACTTTATACAAGTTTTAAATAAAATTAAATTATCTAATATAAATATTTCTTTAATTTTCAATAATTTCAATACTTTATTTATTTTTTTTTTAATTATAACTAGTATCAGATTTAAGATAATCAAATCCTTCAATATTATATCAATCATTTTATAATTATATGGTTGCTTCCAAAAGTTTGAGTCCACTTACTATGTTTTTATTATAAATTTCAACTTTGATAGTTTTTAAATCATTAACTATGTAGTCAAAAATTATAAAAATTATATATATTATGTCTTAATACTTATTCTATTTCTTATATTTTTTTAAAAATTTTTTT